TTAGTACTGCTGGGATTATGGGTGTGAGTGCTACACCCAGTTTAGGGGCAGATAGCCTGAATATAACATAAGAGAGACAGACTTCCTCTTTTGCTGTTTGCCACCACCATGGAAGGTTGCCCACTGCCATATGCCACTCTGCCTTAGAGCTGGCTAAGTATGGACTGAAACCTCCAATAATTGTGAGCTAAATAAATCTTTCCTTCCTTCATTTTGGGTGTCAGGTATTTGTCCCAGCAACGAGAGAAGAGTAACTGAGACAGATGGCACATGTAAACACTCAAAAGAGCTATTAATGTTACAATTTTCCAAAGTTACATACCTCCTGACTGTTTAGTTACTCAATAAATATTAAGTCTCGAGTACTTTTTGCCTTACAGAAAAATAAGAAAGAAACAAGCAAGCAAGCCAGGCAGTTAGGTAGGCACTGAATCAGAGATCAATCTTCATACTGTTAAGACTGGTTTTTGACACTACTGTCAAGCACTTTTCCCCTCTGAAACTATAAAACATTGACTTCTGGGCTGGTGAGATGGCTCAGTGGTCTAAAGCTCCTACTTAGAACAAGCTAAGCCAAGCAAAGCACAGGGACCGCGGTTCAATCCCCCAGCACCACATGCCAGCCAGCCCCGCCCCCTGGTGGGCTGAGCTGGCCACGCACACACAAAATAAATAATTTTTTTAAAAAATACTTTAAAATAAAAAAAAAACATTGAGTTCTGTTTTACCTTGTTTCTCAATTCCATTGTTTCTGCCCCTAGTGTTGCTATCACACTGTAATACCAGCCATATGACTTTATCTATTAGCTAAATCTGTTTGGCTTTTTACACTTAATTTATACAACTAGGACAACTTTAATTCTGTAGGGTTGTTTTGAAGATTACTGCTAACACATAAAAGTAACTGGCACAGAGCAGTTAGCTGCCTATTGCCTACAAATTAAATTTCTAACCTATGGATCAACAACCTTTTCACTACAGCAATCCCCTTTACTTGTCAAGCCGCTTTCCACTTTGTTATCCATAGTCAATCTTGACCCGAAAGCACAAATTTCTAGGAGTCAACCTTAAATTTTTTGCTCCTTGAATGCCTTCAGGGCACTTTTGCATGGCTGGAGTGTTGTGGGGATCAAACTACAGCAAACTGAGGCTGCCAGCATGGGCCCCCATCAACCTTAAATTTGAAACTGTGCATTCTAAATGCCATCAAGTCTCTCAGTAATTCACCTAGGACATGAATCATCCCTTTGTACATGTACATACTATTGCCCATTAATCACTTTGTAGCTCTTTCAGTTACTAGATTTGAGTACTGCAGTATCACAGAGCTTGTGTTCAAATAATCCTTATTTTATTCAATAGCAGTCCCAAAGTGCAAAAGTAGCACTGTTGGCAATTCCAGTATGTCAGAGTAGCCATAGAGTGACTCTTTTATGTAAAAAGATGGAAGTTCTTGACTTAATAAGGAAAGAAAACAAAAAACACATCTGTAGCTGCTAAAATGAACAGCAAGCAAATCATCCATCCATGAATTGTGAAAAATCAGTAAGAAATTGATGCCAGTTTTACTGTTTGTTGCACCTCCGAATACAAATGTTACCATGTATGATAAATGTTTTTCCTTTTTTTTTTTTTTTTTTCCTGTATTTTAGGGAAGGGTCTACAGGGTGCTCAGGGTCTCACTACTAGATTGGACTCATAATGATTCTTTTGCTTACAGCCTCCCAAGAGCTGGGATTATAGGCGTGCCACCACACCCAGTCTCAATGGCTGGCTCAGCGTGCCCTTGGGGACAGGGCCAGCATGGCAACAAATGTTTTGATAAAATGGAAAAGCCATTAAGTTTGTGACAGGCATGAACAGAATATGTTATTGTAATTGTCTATTTTATTCTTACTGTTACTAATCTTATTGTGCCTAATTTGTAGATTAAACTATCAGAGGTAAGTATATACAGAATATAACTACATATAAGCTTCAATACTATGACTTTTCATTCATCCACTGGGAATCTTAGAACAAATTCCCTGCAAAGTACTACTGTAATCTCTATGTGAGCTTTTGTTGCATTTCCTAAAGAAATAAATTTGCATTTTATGCCTATATATTTTAAAATGTAACTATAAAGGATATTTTTGGCTTATCGATTCTTTTGTCTCTCTCTCTCTCTTTTTTTTTTTTGTGGAACCAGGGATTGAACTCATGCCCTTGTGCTTATTTTATTGAGCTATCTCTCTGGCCTCTAGGCTTATCAATTCTAATAGCATCAATATTCACTAAAAACTCAACTAACTAAAAAATGAACAAATTCCACTTCTTTTTCAAATATCAGACCATTATGTTTAACTGCTTTTCCAAACACTACCTAGATTATCTCATGCCAACTTCACACCAAGAATTTCAGTATTCTCAATACTGCCACCTATTGGCTAGCACCATATTTTCTACATACGGAATAATTTACATATGGAATACTTTCCATATTTTAATCTTCAGATGAGATGCTTCTAATATAACTCTTCAAAACTAACAAGAAAAGTACATCAATTTACACTAGCTAGCTCTTTCCTACTTTTCATTATATATGTCTGACTCTCTCTGAAAAATAATGCAAAAGACAGCTAGTTCTAATGAAGGAAACAGCTTCTTAAAGCTGAGCTGTTGAATGGAAGTATTTTTTCTAGTTAGAAAACCAACCAAAAGCAGAACTCCAACCAGTAAGAACAGGTTTTAAATGTGATACTGTTTCATAACTTCCTATTTCTGCATTTTCTCATTAAAATAATCATACATTATTTATTCAGTTGGCAAAAGAAAACTCTCAATCACATTATATGAACATACTACACTTTTTTTTTTAATTTTTTATTTATGTGTGTGTGTGTGTGTGTGTGTGTGTGTGTGTGTGGCCAGCTCAGTCCACCTGGGGGCGGGGCTGGCTGGCATGTGGTGCTGGGGGATTGAACCGCGGTCCCTGTGTTTTGCCAAGCTTGTTCCAAGTAGGTGCTTTAGACCACTGAGCCATCTCACCAGCCCTGAACATACTACACTTAATTACCAAACAGAATGGTTCTCTTCCCAACCTGATTTGAGAAAAACACAATTGTTCTTTCTTCCTTTCTACCAAAATTCCTACTAAATGACTTGTTTAATAGCTCCAATAGGCCAAAATACACATACATACATACATCAAGCTTAAAATATGAACTTTGACTTCACTGGTAGTTTAAATTCCTAACAACGTTGCTTTATTTTTCTGGTCTCTCTTTTCAACCCGTATTAAATTTCACTAATTTCCTCATCAATTTAATGAAAATAGACCATTTCAGAGTCATGACAAATTTTTCATGAAGAATATAAGAATATAAAAAGAGGCCACAAAAGGTTAAAAATAAAAAGCTCAAACTGGCAATATGATGGCTTTCATATTTTACATGATAAAAGACAGTTTAATCCAGTTTTCAGGGGCTGACAATATAGTCAGGAAGACAAAATTCAAATATACAAAAGAATAAACAAATTAAGGCAGAATATTAATTGTGAAACAACTGGTATAGATAATATTTGTTGCAACAGTGTGAAAGATGAAACCTCAATAGATGCACTGGTATGACACAAGGGGGAGACTTAAAGTTACAGAGCACAAGTATACAAATGAGTAATCCAAAGACTAGTAAAAACATGTTGCATAAAACAAATGTTCAGACTTCATTTTTCAGGTGTGTAGATTAGTTGGAAGGAAACTATACAAAACAGTAGTGGGGGATTATTAGAGGGAAGAAAAAGAAAAATATGCCCTGAATTGTAGGGAATTACAGAAGCTCTAAAAGTTAGCCTGCGGAGCCCAGAAAGAAAACTCACTTAAAACAAGTACAGAGCTGGGGAGAAAGCTCGGCAGTCTAAGTGCCTGCCTGGCAAGCACAGGGACCCAGATTCAATTCCCAGTACTGCATGTCATTCTGGCCCTGGAACCTGGGCACACTGTGCCAGACACCGAAACCAGGCATGGTAGCACATGCCTGTAATCCCAGTGCTAGGGAGGCAGAGAGGGGAAGATCACTACAAGTCTGAGCTGTGTAGCAAGATCCTGTACCAAATAAGTAATTTTTAAAAAATTAAAAACAAAATGTTGAACATTAAAAAAAGACCAAATATAGCACAATATTTTCACATTATTTCAAAGGTGACAGCAGAAGGGAAGGCATTTAACCTGGTAGCAGTATTTCACAGACTGAAGAAAACAAAGAAAGACTGATCGTACTATTTTAGTAGTCCAGAAATAATAGTGGAGGTCTGAACTACAGTGATGACTGTGGAAATAAAAAAATGAAATGCATTAGTGAGAAGAACTCATCTGTCAATGATCTGAAGCTACAGTATACAGAGGGGAAAAAGGAATCAAAATGTTCCCACCAAAAGAAATATTGTAAAAGGAAACATAAGATAGCAAACAATTATTTCAACAACTGAAAATTGTATTTAACATTGAAGTAATAAAACTTCATAAATCCAAAGACTCAACAACTGAATATCAATAGCACTCATACCCAGATATTAAAAAGAAAAATCTTAAAGATTTACTACACTACATCATAAATCTACATGAATTACCCACTGCTCAATTCACAAATTATTCTCTTTGTACAAGTGACTCCTATTTGTGTAATTTTGAGTGTTAGTTCATTATTTTGCCTAGTGCTAGTTCATTATTTTCCCAGTATATGTTGGAATACAAATTTCTCCACAGGCTAATAAACAGACTGGGAAACAGTGCAAAAAGAAAACTCAATTGCTATCAAACTCCTTATAAATTTACCTCCCCTCCCCCTTTTTGTTTGGCTGAACCAGGGATTGAACTCAGGCCCTTGCGCTTGCCAAGGAAGCGCTTATTCTACTGAGCCATCTCCCCGGCCCTCCCCTAATTCCTTTAACAAAAACCATTTTTTAAAAGGAAACTTTGACAAATACTATACTAGAAGTTTCATGCGCTTCTTGATTACCTTTACTTTATCTCTTCTCAAGCAACAGAACAGACAATTTTCATCAAAAGTCCAATCAGAAACGTTTTCAGGCTCACACTCTATAAAAATAAATATACTAAATTAATAACCATAAAAGATTTTTTCAGAAAATCGGAACTAATTTCAAAAATATTGTTTAATGAAAACTTCACTAAGTAGTAGATGTGTTATATATCTGTCTTAAACTTATTGTGGCTCTGACACCTATTCCATCAGTGAAGTATAACCTCAGACAAGTCTTCAATTTCTTTCTTTCTTTTTTTTTTTTTTTTTTAAATTTTAGGGAAGGGTCTACAGGTTGTTCAGGGTCTCACTACTAGATCAGACTCATAGTGATCCACCTGTTTACAGCCTCCCAAGAGCTGGGATTACAGGCACATGCCACCACACCCAGTTTGAATTGCCATCTCAGCACGCCCCAGGGGCAGGGCTGGCAGAGCAGGCCCTGGAATCAAACCCACGACGCCTGTGCTTGCTTGCAGGTGCTTTAATCTGCTGAGCTATTTGGCTGGCCCTTTAAATTTCTTAACTCAAGAATTTTTCCTTAAGTGAGACATGGTGGCACATGCCAATAGCCCCAACACTGGGGAGGCTGAGGTAGAAGAGTCAAAACTACAAGCTCAGCCCAGGCACTTTGAGACTGAAAAAATTGAAAGGGGTGAGCATGTAGCTTAGTACAAAAGGCTCTTGATTTCAAACCCTAGTAATGGAAGGATGGGGGAATAAGGAAGAACTTACTATATTCCTAACCGCTCATTAGTTAGTATGTGTCAAAAACTAAAAAGATGCTTACATGCAGACAATTTTAGACCACATGAAACAATAAAATGGAGACAGAGCCTTAAATCACAAAGGTTTATAAGAAGATATACCAAGAAGAATTTGAAATACCAAAATATTTTTAATACCTTTAAATAAACTGAGATCTTTCAATAATGCAGGTCCAAACAGCCCTTCAAGAATAGTTTCAAACCCTGTAAGAACAAAGAAAAAAATCATTATTACAGTAATATTCACTATAGCAACAGTTATGAAACATGATGGTATTTTCTTCCAATTCAAGTATCTCAGATTACTACTGAAGGGATGCTGAGGAAGTTGACTGACAAATCTAGAACGTACACTTGCTTTTTGTCAGTGGTTAATATGACACAAATTCATAACAAATTAGAACAAAACAGATACCAGAAACAACCAGTAAAGGCATGGCAATTCACAAATTCTCTTACTAGTCTACAAAATTTTTACATAAACTCTCAAGTTTTGTTTTCTTTTTTTTTTTTTTTTTGGTACAGGGTCTCACTACACAGCTTGGACTCTAGTGATCTTCCTGTCCTAAAAGGCTCAATGAAGAGCCAAACTGTTCAGACTAGGCACCTGCTTAGTCAAGCACAGGGACCAGGGTTCGATTCCTGACACCACATGCAGCATTGGCCCCGCCCCCGGGTGTGCTGAGCCAGAGACAGAGTGGACAGAGCCCAGGTGTGGTGGTGCAAGCCCGTTATCCCCACGCTGGAAGGCTTGAAAACAGGAGGATCACTACGAGTCCAAGCTGGAGCCCAAGCTGCATAGTGAGACCAGGCACAAAATACATTTAAAAAAAAAAACAAAACTAAAAAAAGAGCCAAATTATTTCAAAACTTCACAACTTTCTGAAACACTCTACTTTTCTGAATAGCAACTGAGAAAACAAATTTTTCAAATTAATAGTTTCTTAAAAAAATATTCACTGAGAACTTTTCTTTCATACACATACCTCACAGTATATTTTAGCCAAAAAAAAGCCCTTTGTAATTATTTTACACTGTCACAGTAACTACTTGCTAGGTCCCTTTATAAAGACAAAGTCCACTAATTATACAGTTAAAATATCTTCAGTGTGTCCAGGGCTGGAATTATAAGTGTGCACCAACAACTATGCCTAGCCTATATATGAATTTTTATTTGTAAAAAAATTACACTAATTCAAAATACTATTGACTGCTGGACCATCAGGACTACACATATAGCCATTTCTTTACCATAAGTACAATCAAACATAAAATACAAAGGAATTGGAAGGTAAGGAGTAGAAAAGATGGTCCCTACAAAGTATCTGGGCAACAAGAATAATGTAATATAAGAGATTTCTTTCTTTTTTAAATGTATTTGGTACAGGGTTGCACTATGTAGCTCGGACTCGTAGTGATCCTATTTTCAGCCTCCCCAGTGCTGACTGGATTACAGGTATGTGCCACCACACCTGGACTGGATGGCTGACTCAGCACACCTGGCAGATAGGGTTCACATGGCATGTGGGGGGATTGAACCCAGATCCCTACTCAACATATTATCAACTGAGAATCTACCCAAGACTAAAGCACAGAATGAGTAGGAATGGTGAACAGTTATCTAGTGCTTTGGTTTAGAATTTCCTTATCTTCAGAATTCAGAGATCCTTGCCTCCTTCTCAAAAAAAATCAATTGTCTAAGGTCTCCTCTACTTTCCACCATGTGCAAAGTACTGCCTATATAAGTATTTGATAAACTAAAACTTATCACAAGCCATATAAGCCCTGTCTTATTTTTCTTTTCATGCATTTATGTCTTTCTCTTTCAGAGACTTAAGAAAAGCTAGATCTTTCCATGTGCTACAATGTTTCTCTTATACTAGAACCTTTCAATTCAAAATTTCTGCTTTTGACATAATCACAGAGCTCTGGAAAACTAAAAACAGAAACTGAAAATTTTCCACAAATGCCTTTCATTTAAATCATAATCTCTACTATTTCTACATCCAACCAAAAGCCAAATTAAGGAAAGTAACAAGATAGGTAGATACCAAACAGTCAACTAAGGTCAATTATGATTGATAGCCTGTTACTTTGGACAAAATAACAGTTCATGGGGCTCTTGGAAATGTCTCTTCTGAGCTAATATGGAGACTAAAAGCATGTGAGAAGTGCTAAGAAAAAGAAGTAAATTTTTGTTTTTTGTTGCTAAAATATACCTGAGAACAGGTATCTTATGTTAAAAGCTCTTATTTAAAGAATGTATAAAGAAAAATTCATGGTTCTCAAGAAAGAGAAATTCAAGAGCACGGCACTGGCATCTGCTCAGCTTCTGGTGAGTGGCTAGTGCTTCTTCAACTCCCAGCAGAAGACAAGTGGGCAAGAGCAAAAAGAGAAAACCCTAAGTGTGGACTTTCTCACAAGTCCAGCAAGAGATAGACCTTCTTCAAAGTGAAAAAAGGTATGAGGGCTCATTTATGAGCCCTGAGATCCAAAAACTTATTACTAGGCTTCACCTTCCTAAAACTGCCTCCTGAGAAATTAAGGTTCAATACATGAAGGGCCCCTGGATCTTATAGTCAGTTTGGTGGCCAGGATAATGAAGTTCAATCTTCAATTAAGTATTATTTTATAAAATATCAGTTTAAAGGTGTTTGCTGGTAGCAATCAACTAATGGACAGTTTCATCTTTTGCTTAAAATTCAAGATGTTTAACTTGCATTGAACTTCCTAACACCAAAGTTTTTGTATATAGTACAAAAGCTTGAGATTACATAATCTTTTATCCTCTATTTGTCACTTCTATACGAATGAACTTTTCTATTCTAACTTTTCTACATAATGAGCACTGTTCACTGAAGACTCTGCTCAGAATGGCCATTCCTCCCAGTGTTAAGTAACTACACTCGTTTTAGCACCCCCCCCCCAAGTCTGTCCCACATCAGACCCTGCGGGATCTCATCTGCTGGGTCACTAAGCCCTGCTGGCATTACACAGAACAACGAGGAAAAGACCCAACCAATGCACTAGAAAAACAACTTAATCCACACTAATGACCCAAACTGAAACAGTTACAGAGGAATGGCAACTCCTGAGCTCAACACAATAGCAACAAAAAAATTACAAGAGTACAGTACTGCTACAGTTAACTTTATGTAATTATGATTTAGTACATCACTAACATTTGCTTACATTTCTCTCCCCTGTGAATAGCTAAGTATCATGCATAAATGTTGATCATCTTTATTTTTTATAAGAGATTTCTATAAACTTTATAATGGTATATCTCTACATATAATTTTTTTTCCATATTTAAAAAAAAAGTATCACCAAAGTAGACCCAGCCCATTTCAAATCAATGTTGTTCAAAGGCCAACTGTACTATACTTTCATCGCTGGTTCAGTGTACCCTTAGTCATAAAAGAAACTTTTACTACAAAATTGTATGCCACTTTGCACAGCACTCTCACATATGCTGTGTTACTAAATCTCAAATATAGAGGGCCGGGGAGATGGCTCAGTGGAATAAGCGCTTCCCTGGCAAGTGCAAGGGTCTGAGTTCAATTCCTGGTTCTACCAAAAAAAAAAAAAAAAAAAAAAAAAAATCTCAAATACACCAAGAGGCCAGGATTATACTCTAGAAATGATGATGCATTTCTCAGAGTTCATAATGTCAATGTGAAGAATAAAAGACAGAAATCATGGGGGGGGGGATTAGAAATGAGGCTGTCAGGACATTCAATACATGTAAACCAGGAATTACACAAAAAGAAAAAGCAAAAACAGCTGGGCATGGTGGCACATGGCTGTAACTGGAGCACTCAGAGGCTAAGGCAGAAGGATCTCATGAGTTACAGCCTTACATGGGCTACATAGTAAGTTTAAGACCAACCTAAGCTACATAGTGAAACATTGTGTGGGTGAGGGAAAGGTAAGAATGTTGAAGATTTTAATTAAATATGTAAGAATCAGATTGTAGCAATGGTTATAAAACTGGGAATATAAAAATTGGTCAACTCTATATATACCTAAAAGGATGAGTATAAAGTACGTAAATTATTTCTCAATAAAGCTGTTAACAATATAAGCAGTCTTGCATTTTTAGTAAATATTTCTCAGGTTTTAAGAAAATCTAGCTTAAGAGAGTTAATCTAAGGGGACACGAGGGGGGGGGGGAGACTGAGGGAGAGACTGACCGACTGACCGAATGACCAACCGACCAGAGAAATGGCATCACTAATCTGCTCTCCACAAGTCAAAAAAAGACATGATTCTATTATTTCCCAAAGTTATTGAGTCTTCCAGTGAGTTCATTTTACTTCAGAAAGATGCTACTAAATCTATTCTCTTTTCCATCCATAAATTTAGGGTTTTGCCATTTCCCACCTTAACAATTACAATATCCATAGTAACAGCAGTTATTAACAGCTTTTGCTTGGTATCATGCAAGCATTTTATGTCATGTTAGGAACTTCATACTCATCGTAACAAAATCTTTAGAGGAACATTGTAAAACACAGATTACCACTACCTAGTATAAGTGAGAAAACTTAAAATCATATCAGCTAAACCATTCCCAACTACAAAGAAATTAAAGCCAGGCTAACAATTCTAAAATGAACGATTTTTTCACTTTATCATAGTACCAAATAATGGTTTTCTTAAGGTTTTAATTCACCTTAGTATTTCAATATTCCCCATAACCACTATCTCTACCACCACTCTATACATAACTACTAAACTTTACTCAAATATTTTAAAAATATTTAAGTAAACACAGAAAGACTTCAAATCCTGGATGACAGGCAAGAACACAGGTCTGATCTCCTACTACCTACCTTTCCGGTGTCTCTTAACATTTTCTCTCCCATGCTCTGGCCATAGTGATTTGCAAATCATTACATTCTTGTCAATGCTTCCATGTCTTTTAAGCTCAGAATGCCCTCCCCCTACAGCACTATTCAGGCAACCCTCAATCTAGCTAAATTCTAATGTATACTTTATCTTACCCCACAAGCCCTAGGGCAGAGTTAGGAACTTCTCATAGTGCTGAAGTTATACTATTTAAAAATAACATTTTACTTATTTGACATTTGATTCACTAGATTTACAGCAGAGAACTGAAGCCTGCCTGCCTGTTTATTTATTTGGCACAGGGTCTTGCTATGCTGCTTGGACTCACAGTGATCTCGTCTTAGCCTCCC